TTTTTTTAGATTAAGGGCCAGGGTAACCTAACCTAAAACTGATAGCTCAGATATGCTTTCAACCCTGATCGGTTAACAAAAATATAATTTTGTATAAAAAATACACAATAAAAATGTAGTTTGCTGTAATATACCTCACTCCATAGCTATATATATAAACTGTAATTCTGTTGTTTCGACATGACGTGATATGTCAAAAATGGGGAAAATACGACCTTTTTAAATATAAAAGACAATTCTCTGCATTTCACTATGGACATTGGCCTGAAGAATGACATGATGACAGGCCAGGGTAACCTAACCTTTAACTGATATTTACGTTCAATTAAGTTGACAAAAGTTCTGTCTTGTTGACACTGATACTTTCTTAAATACATCTGTTAAAAATTAATTTAAGAATTAATACTTGATCAGCAAGAAACTAGTATAAAAGGCCTGTTTCTCTGAACAGTTCTTCACAAACCATCAGCCATGAGAGCTGTTGTGCTTGCCCTGACTGTAGCCCTTGTGGGTAAGTCAAAATATATTTATATATTTTCTCCATCTCTCTCTTTATACCTCTTTGATAAAGCTACTGAAAATTATTTTAAAGAAAACTAAAAAATTCAAAGAAAATATTTTTTGTGTGTTTCTTTCAGCGAGTCAACAGATCAACCTTGGTAAGTAATATGATTTGGAAAATTAGTTTTTAAGTGGTAACCTAAATTGCATTACTGCTTAAATGTACTGGTCTTAACAACTGACTCAAAAATACCCTAACCTTTTCAGTTCCTGAGTTTGCCCTCGATAAGACCTAGTTTTCTTTGAAATTATGACTCACACAAAGACATAATAAGAAAATTCAACTAATTGTTTTTGTTCCTGTTGCACTAGATGACACTGTCAAGAATGGATATTCCTCTTCCCATCGCTGTTCCTATCAATCCAGACGGAACCCTTTCCATTCAAATCGATGAGGACATTCTCTCTTGGATCCAAAAACATATCAAGGAAGAATAAAACATGAAGAATTACATTTTACATTTAAGAAAATGTTAGCTGTGTTCATATTGTATAGTTCATATTTTATGTTTAATTGAATTTTACCACTGATTTAATGCAAGCAATACTAATAAACACCCTGCAAGTTAGCGACTTGTGAATTGTTTTCACTTTACAGTAATGTCTAGAATTTTTTACTGTTAAATAATTTTAACAAATAGCCTTCATATAATTGAAGCAATCAACACATTATGTTAAAATTGGTTATACATTATAATAAAGACCACAAAACAATCACAATACATAATTTTAGTTACGATAAATAATATAAAAAGACTACATAAATTAGTAACACATGCAGACTGGCTTTTTTAACCTGGTCACTATAAAATTTTAATATTTAAAGGGGTCATGAACTGCCTTTTTTATTATTCTATAATGTTCTCTGATGTCTACTTATAATGTTATCAAGATTTTTACATCAAAAAACATAATATTTCAGCAGTAATAGGCTTTTTTCTGTCCCGTTTTGACCCTTCTCATCGGATCGCTCTGTTTGAATAGGCGTGGCGGATTGTAGACTCGGAAGTAAACACCCACTGCTATGATTGACTAGTAGTGTATGTTTGACAGCTACATTCATCCTACAGTTGGTTCCCCCTCATGCATTCAGAGAATTCATTTAATCATGCATTCTTTCATTTAATTTCTTTCAGCACTCCTTATGTTTTCACACACAATGAAACCTACGTTGCCTGTTGCGCCTGCGTGAGACTGTTAATTTTACTAAATGCTGAGTAGTATTTATCGCGACTTTTTCCACGTATTTATAAATTAATCCAAGCTATTCAGTGAAGAGCAGGTTTGAGCAGAGTGATTTTTCTTTTGGTCTTTAATTAAGATTAATGAAACCGATAGCAAACTGCTCTTTCAGATCAAATGTACGGATCTGACACACACATCAGATTTTCTGTTTACGGTCATTTAAAACTTTTTATTTTAACTTAGACTGTGCTTACACAAGGACATTCGCCAAAACGGGCATTTTGACTTTATTTTAATTGTATTGGGCCTTTCAAGCACAGTAAGATGAAAAGTGAATTCTGTTATGGTGCGGTGTCTGGGAAGTGGCTGTGCGCGCGCTTTGGGTGCACGCGCCTACAGAAAACAGCGCTCGAGTACCGAATTAGTTCTCTTTCGTGATTTCTTGTGCCTGAACGGTTTAAAAGCTTTTGAATGCTTACTGGCAAAACTAAAAAACATGCATATGAATGATGAACTTTTGTGACGAGTCAAAAATAAAGCATTAAGCTGAAGGGGGAAATTTTCAAAATCTCAGTTCATGACCCACTTAATACTCATATGGTAAAAGCGCATCTCATTGCAAAACATGCAGAATTATCTTCAAGCAACACAATGCCATTTGCTTCAAACCAAAAATTTAGCTGAAATATGTTCTTAGAGAATATTTTTTTTACTTCAATAACCCAATTACCTCATAAGTTAAGAAATTATTTATTAAAAGATGACAAAACTCCAAGCAGAACAGCAATAAAATGTCAAGAATAATCACTTTCAAAATGTATGACAGCTTTCTTTTCAGATAACTACAATAATAAATCATT